AAGAGAGAGACACAGGAAGATACTGCTGCATTGTTGACAACAAGGAGGGAAACATTACTAGACAGAAAACAGTGCAACTCCATGTCAGAGGTCAGTGTGAAGTTACAGGTCAGAGAATAGTGCTGTAGATACAGGTCAGAGGTCAGTACTGTAGATAAAGGTCAGAGGTCAGATGTCTCTGTGTCTGTCTGTGTCTGACTGTCCTCTGTCTCCTCTGCAGGGAGAACCAGGAACAGAAGCAGCTCCATTGATCCAACTCCTCTGATGGCTGATCAATCTGTTTGATTGGTCTGTTGATCAATCTTTGATTATTGATCTGACTTTTGCATCGGTGTTAAAATGGAAGTGAAGAAGCTGATGGATGACGGATGAAGACAGGAGGACGCTCTGACTCCACCCACTGACTCTCTCACACAGTCTACACCCTCACTTCAGTTTTTATTTCTCCTCTTGTTATTTGGAGCTGCAGTGATGGAAGAAGAGATTAAAAGCATTCGTTCAAAGAAACTTTATTGAAACTGCAGCTTTAATCTTCATCATCATGTATTTAGTGTCAGAAACTGTTATAACGATCTGTATTGATCTTTATTACTTGTTACCTTCATGTTATTGTTTTAGTTTAGCTATTTACTGTTTTATGTTGAAAGAGTCCTTCCTTATGTCTCTTGTGAAAATTCCTGCAGCGGTTTTCCCGCCAGTTTTGAATGTCTGCCTCGCAACAGAGTCCCTTTGTTGAAATAAAATCATTGAACTGCACCAGTTCCGCCACAAGTAGTCGCACTCTCTTTGTGTTCCTGTTGCTGAGCTTGCAGAATATTGACGGTATACGTTAATCAATTATTACAATACATTAAACATGTGTCAATATAACTGAGTAACCACAGACGCTCCTCAATATTCAAGGATTCAGGGTTCTTTTACTGTCATTTACAGCCATAGTTACTTTATGAAAATTAAAAGACTTTTACTAATTTATTTATTACTTTAAACATTAAATAAATAAAATCCAAAGTTTGGATGTTTGTGTGCTACATGAGCGCCATCTTGGCTCCTCCTCCTTGTTAATAAATGTTATTATTATTAATAATCATATTATTATTAATAATTATTATTGTTGTTATTATTAATATTATTATTCATTCGTTTTCTACATTTTTTATCTTATTGGCAGAAATGCAAATAGCATCGTGTGTTATTTGTATAAAACTGAAAATAATCCAGTTATCTCTAAATGAAAAACACTTTCACTCCGCGCCGTACAGTGGACAAAATTATATAGAATGCAATTAAAAAACAACAGAGCTGATTTTACATTTATGAAAGCAACATTTACTGCCAGATTTAAATTGAATTTAGATTTAATGATGGGAGTTTCCATTAGCTCCTCGTCTCAGTGCTGATGGGAATAAATGACTTTATCCTGACGCTGATCTAATTTTAGCTCGTTGGTGAAAGAGGAAACAAACTTTTGTGAAATAGTGACATAAACCAGAAGATTTCTCACACTCCGTCCATTATTCATGTCGACACACACACAGACACACAGTGGAGTGACGTCAATGCTGATTGGTCGAGGCGGTTCGGGGTGAAGGCAGTCTGTTGCCTGGAGACGAGCAGCAGCCGTGTGACACTAAATACAACCTGTGTGAAAATGTTTCAGTTTGAAATGAAACTTTCTGTGTGTGTGTTCAGTAGGAACCAATGAATGAGCTGAATGAGCTGAGGGCCGCAGACAGGAAGTGGGACAGTATTGGCAGACGGACACGGACTGATCATCTGAACTCTGTACTGTACTCAGGACCCTCCACATGTCCCAGAATGCAATGGGCTAAGGTAAACTAGATAAGATGAACTACCAAAATAAGAGCAGAGAATGATCCTTTAATGGACTCCACAGTGACACTTCTGTTGACTGATTCTAAAAACTACATTACCCATGAGTCTCAGCAGCACGGTCAGAACAAAACTCCAAACCACCGCTGCTGAATGAAACTGACTGAAACTGTCTCAGACTAATCAAAACTGGCTTTACAACAATGTATTTGTTAGGATTCAGGACTTTTGGTGTTCTCCCTCAAGGACTACTGGAACCGCCTGGAGAACCACCAGAGTCTCTCCATTAGCATCTTCGTGCGGACCCCTGGTACTCCTCAAGGCACCCTGAAACTTTCTAGTTTAACCTGGTTCGTGAGGACGTGTGTGTGTGTGTGTGTGTAAACTCAATACTTTAAAAGTCTGAGGTGACTTCAATTAGTTAGATGTAAGGCCCGATTTACATCCTAGTTTAATTGAAATTACATCTTCTGAACTTCACTTTTTTATAAAGATGTGTGTCTATTCCTTTATAGAAGTGAATTACTTCAAATTATACAAAATAATTTTCTAAATTATGACATTAGTCTCTCAAAACCGCAGCTGACGATACCATAAAAACAATTGTGTTAATGATATTATTATCTGAGGGTTGCGGTAATATGGATTTTCTGTTTTGTTTTGACCAATGACTTTAAATCCTTTTACACTTGTGGAGGATCATTAAGAATTATTTGCGACTGCATACTTTATGGATGATTAACAATACTGGAATAAACATGCTAACGCGCGAATACAGATTGATGTAATATGTAAAATGAAATACTTTCTTAAGGATTATAAATGTCAACTTCACCGAGACTTAAAGAATACTAGAACAACGTAAATTGCTGTCAACAATTGCGGAATTCATTTATATTCATTTCATTTCAATTTGTATTCCAATTTATTAATACATGTGGGATTTTGTAACAGCTGTCAGTGTTCTTGGACCTCCACACCTGCATCCATGTGATTTTCATTAGCTGATCAATACTCCCTGCTGAATTTAATGCATGACAGCACATGTCAACCTGTAACAACTCATCCTCAAGACGTCATGTTGAAGTCCATACAGATTCACTAAAGATATTAAATACCTCTACATTCGGTGTTAATGTTGCTCCTCCTGTCTCTCTGATCTCTCTCGTCTTCCTCTCTCCTCTCTCTCAGACCCGTCATTGACCGCCTGACCTCGGTCATTCACGCCCCCGTCGTAACTGTCAGCCGGCGGTGACGTGGGTCGTCGTTTAGCAACTATTTCCTGTGGAAAGGGGGCGGGTACAGAAGGTTCACATAGGTCCGAATGAGTAGGTGTGTGTGTGTGTGTGTGTGTGTGTGTTGATCGTTAATTGACCCCCGTCGTCTTTGTTCCTAGTCAGTTACAAATACCCGCTCTCCCGAGTTTTCAGCCTCTGATCGTGTCATCATACTAGCACGCTATTATAGATATCTACATTATGTCCACACTTACACAACCACACACCACACACACGTAAGAATTTGCTTCATTATCAATCACCCTTATTAGAGAGACAAGAGGTCACTGATCACAAAAACACCCAGTTATGATCCCCTTGGTGTGTGTGTGTGTGTGTGTGTTGTTGGATTACGCACCAACATTCCTTGCCCCCTGTCCACACAGCGACACACACACCACACACACACACGACTACCGGTACACCAGCACA